AGCCATTGAGATAGCCATGGAGATTGAACCGCCGTGCAAGAAGGAGAAACAAGCGGCTCCACTTTTTATAGTTTGGTTGAGAAAAACTGAGTTGAATTGGAACATGAAGTTTGACATTTGAGACGGAGAAAGCAAGATGGGGAGGTTTTGGGCTAGAGGATTGAGATGTGATCTCACTGTCCGTCATGGTGGAGGAGGAGGAGCCGGCCGAGAGAGGAGGGAGGAGGTGCGGCGGCGCTGCTGCTCGGCAGAAGAGGGAGGCCGAAACTAGGGGGAGAGAATTTTTAGGGTTTTTGGTGTGGCTCCGATACCATGAAGAATTGTATTTTCCTTGGATTAATTATGTGAGGAGTACATGTATATATATACAACATCTCAATCCTAGTTATGGTAGGAGAGGTATTCTAGGAAAGGTATACAAGTATGGAAACAAATCATAATATAATAATATTAAATATGTTTAATATATTTAACAGTATTTTTTTTTAACAATTTTGAATCTGTCAGATGTATCGAACGATGAAAACTACAGATAGGGCAACTGGAGCTACATCATCAGGTATTTCTAATCCATCTCTTTTATTATCTACACTAATGAATAACAAATTAAAAAGTCAGTTAATCAGACATGCATTTTTTATTTTTTGCTAAACTTCACCGTTAGTTATTTAACATTATGTTTGGTTCTATTAGGAAGTATAATTAAATTAGGATACTTCTTTCCTTTCCTACTAGAATTATTCTTTCCTTTCCTACTTGTACTTTGATTACTCTTGTATTCCCTATATATAGGGTCATATCTCTCAATATTCAATAAGACAAGTTATTATCAAGTTGTATCATGGTATCGGAGCTAAGGCTGTCAAAAACCTAGCCTCTTTTTTTCCGACCGCCGCCCACCATGGCAGCCCCGTCGGATCCTTTTGGCGTCCTTACCCTCCGGAGCAAAACTTTTGCTTCGGAGTCTCCACAACTTAATCCCAGAAAAACTCACCGAAACAAATTATCCGGCATGGTCTCTCAATGTCCAGACAGCTCTTTCAGCTAATCTCCTCCTTGGATGGATTGATGGTCATGAAGCAGCCTCAGCGCCAACTATCTCCAAAAACGATAAAACCGTCCCTAATCCAGAGTATACCTCCTGGGCCATCGTTGACACACAGATCCGCGTCTGCCTCTTAGCGGTCATCAGCCCCTCCGTTCACAAACATTGTCGCGGCTTCACCACATCTGCTGCCCTCAGGGATGCTTTGGTCGCACGGTACAACTCCGTGTCCACCGCTCATGTTTATCAGCTTCGGGACAAACTCCACACTCTTCGTAAAGGTACCAAAACTATGACACAATACCTTGATGATGTGGCAACTATTCTCTCGGATCTCGATGCCTTGAAAGAAGAGACCCCTGAACGTGATGTGGTGAATGCTGTTATTCGTGGTCTTCCCACCGAATACTCATCCTTTAAGCAAAACATTCACATGAACAATACCAATATTTCGTTAAATCAGCTTTCTGGATGGCTGATCTCCGAAGAAATAAACCTGGAGATGGAGAATAAACTAAGCCTCACCGAGTCTACCATCACCGAACCTCGCACAACACTTCTCGCTACGAACGGTCGAGGTCGCGGTAGAGGAGGCTACCGCGGTCGACCATCACCTGGACGTGGATACAACAGCGGACGTGGAGAAAGGAACAACGGTCGACCGTCCCAGGGAAACGGTCGACCGTCACGGGATCTGCCAACCTGCTAAATCTGCGAGAAACGAGGTCACTCTGCGTCTGTGTGCTGGTATCGATTTGATGATTCTTATACTGCGAACTCCTCCTCCAGTTCTCCCCGTGCAATGCATGCATCTATGAGTAATCATTCTGGAAACTGGTATCTGGACACTGGTGCCAACACCCATGTCACGTCTGATTATTCTCAGCTACAATCTCCTCATCAATACACCGGTACTCATGCTATTACCGTAGGCAATGGTCAATCCCTACCCATCACACACTCTGGCTCAGGTTTTGTCCATACTCCTAATGGTAAATACCACCTTTCTACTCTTCATTATGTCCCTTCCCTTACCTCCAATCTATTGTCTGTCCATCGATTTACCAAAGATAACAACTGCACTCTTGTTTTCAATGCCAATGATTTTCAGATAGTGGACAATCCTACCAACCAGGTGCGGTACAAGGGCCTCTGTGAGCATGGGTTATACACACTTCCTTCCAAACTCCCAACCGTTGCGTATCAAGCTATCCAAGAGTCCACTTGGCATCGTAGACTCAGTCATCCAGCTCCTGCGATTGCCAAATCTATTTTGTCTTCCTTAGGTTTTTCAGTTTTCAGAGCCTTTACATTGTGAATCATGTTATGTCTCTAAGTCCTGTCGTTTACCTTTTGAATTGTCTGAACATAAGGCCACAACACTCTTTCAATTAATACATTCTGATGTTTGGGGTCCCACCTCTGTTCCTTCCTGTAGCGGTTTTCGATTTTATATCTCTTTTGTTGATGATTTCAGCAAATTTACCTTGATTTATCCCCTAAAACATAAATCTGAAGCTTACTCTGTTTTTGTGAATTTTGAAAAAATGATTAAAACTCAGTTTAACTCTCACATCAAAATTTTTTGAAGTGATAATGGCAAAGAATTTGTAAATAATGCTTTTGGCCTTTTCCTTCAAACTTTAGGAGTCCTTCATCACACCTCTTGTCCCTACACTCCTGAGCAAAATGGGGTCGCTGAACGGAAACATCGTCATCTCATTGAAATGGTTGTTTCTCTTCTATACGACTCTGCTCTCCCGACTACCTTTTGGGTCGAAGCTCTTGCCACAGCAAACTATCTTATCAACCGTATGCCCATCAAAACTCTCTCCAACAAATCTCCCTTTGAAACTCTTTATAACCGTCCTCCTACATATACCCACCTTCGTGCCTTTGGTTGCTTGGTCTATCCATAGCTCTGCCCTTACACTCACCACAAACTTCAACCACGCTCCACTCCTTGTGTCTTCTTAGGATATCACCCCACCACTAAAGGGTATAAATGCTATGAACCCGTGTCTCAAAAAGTTTATGTCTCTCGTCATGTTCGGTTCGTCGAGGATCAGTTTCCATATCCCAAATTGTCATCCCTCCCGTCACCCTCTCCTATAACCCCTATTTTCCCTCCAAGCCCAGGCTCACATGCTCCTGTCCCACTGACGGTCCAACCCCAGACCCGTCCCACCAGTCACGGACGACAGCCCGACACCCTCCCTATGGACACGCCACAGACGGTCCAACCCCAGAACCGTACCCCAACCCACCCTCGACCGTCACCTACTCCTCTCCAAAACACACAACCGGTTAACCGACCCTCGCCCCAAAACACACACACCATGCAAACCCGAGCCAAATCTGGAATTTTCAAACCTAAAGCCTATACCATTACCACCCTTGATACTACCCCACCTACCACTGAGCCTAGCACTTACCGCCAAGCCTCTGGTAATAGTTTTTGGTGTCAGGCTATGGATGAGGAGTTTATTGCTTTGAATGAGCAACGTACATGGGACTTGGTTCCACCACCCAAGAACCGCACTCCGATTGGTTGCAAATGGGTGTATCGCATTAAACGGAATGCTGATGGATCTGTTTCAAGGTA